GTGTGTGTGTGTGTGTGTGTGTGTGTGTGTGTGTGTGTGCGTGTGCGTGTGCGTGTGCGTGTGCGTGTGCGTGTGTGTGTGTGTGTGTGTCTCTCTCTCTCTCTCTCTCTCTCTCTCTCTCTCTCTCTTTTTGGCTTTCTATTTTTTTTTAAAGTTTTCTTCTGGCCACACATGGTTCAGAAGTGGTGGACAAAAGTGAGGACAGAGTCAACTGAAAATTGACAGCTGTGAGGACTTAGGTCGGAAGGTGTAGATAGAGAGGACAGCTTAAAAAAGTTATGGATTTGATGTCCTCTGGAATGTGCTTCTTGTTTTTGGGTCGTCAGCTTCGGTGGGTATGGCCAGTCAGTTACCGCCCTTTCTTCTGTTGTTGTGTAAACCTCGTCTGGGGGCTTATCTTTTGTCGTTCTATTAATAAACTGTGCAACCAGTTTCTGCAATTATTTGTCACTGTCAACTTGTATGCAATTATCGAGGGAAATTTGCTTATCTGCTTGCTGGAATATTCACACAGCTGTTTACGTTGATCGCTGTATTTACGGCATTCCAGCAGGTAGTGGGCCATTGTGTTTTGTGACTTACAGTCGTCACACGTTGGATTCTTGAACCTTTCTGGCTAGTAACCCAGTCGCATCTTCCACAGTTTATTGATCGTAGCGATTATTGTCGGTTCTTTGATCTGCGACTGGGTCCTAAGCTTCCTCAGCATTCTGTAGGCGTGCCTACCTTTGGTGTCTTCAGTCCACTGCTTTTCCCATGCTTCGATGAGTTGTTTGGTGGCCGCTTTTACCTCAGATTTTCCCAACCCCATGTCCATCTTGTGGTCGCAATTGGTGCCTTCCTTTGCAGCCCTATCCGCCGACTCAGTACCGGTTGTGCCCTTGTAAGCTGGTATCCACCCTATGGTGAGCTTTTTATTGCTTAAAAGCCAAAGTATCCGACTGATGTCTGCCAGTGTCCCCCTGCCAGTTGCCAAAGTCTAACATGTGTCCGACGAGCCAACCATAAGTTTGTCACTTGATCGTTAAAGTAACCGGCTGGTCCAATTGGCTAACGCAGCGACTATATTCTCACAGTACCCGTTGCATAGTCACCATTTCGTCTTGTCCCTGTCCGAGAACATCCGGTAAAGTCCAGCAGGAGAAGATCAAGGCCTGGTAGTCATGACCCAGGTCGAACCACCCTCTGAAATTGTCTGGGAGGAAATGGGCCGAAAAAATTGTCGACAATAGATTTTCTACGGATGAATGGTGGACTCCTGCTGTACATGCTCCCCTGTGGAGTTTTTCTTATTATTAACCTCTATTTGACCTTTCCTTTCAAAGACTTCTTCTCCCCCGTGTGGGTTCCGGGGCCCCATTGTGGAGATAACAAGAATAGACCCACTGCCTCCCCAAAAGCATGTCGTAAGAGTTGACTAATTGGGAGGCTACCTTTGAAGTCGGAGTGCATATGCCGGAGAGGCAAGGAACCAACAGTCTTCTTCTTCTTCTTGTTCACCGGCTGTGAATTCCGGCGGTAAGTCGCGGTTGTTCGTCCAAAATGGACTTTTGGCTTTTACCTTGACCTGAGTTTTGCGCGTACATCCGTTTTACTGGCTTATTTGTTTGCAGTACTCGTTCCCTGCCTCTCCGGCAGATGTACTCCGACTTCGGAGGAAGACGTCAAGCCTATTTCTAGGTTGACTGTGGCCATTGTTTTGTGTGGGTCGAGATGTTGCCTTATTTGTGTGGTGTCCTCTTTGACTTTTAACAAGTGTGGCCCCCGGCATGTCGTCCTTAATGCAGCTCTATGTAGAGTTTTCAGCCCTCAAGGGAAGGCAGGGGCAGATCATGGGCATTCCCCGCCATCCAAGGAGGCTTCCATAAATGCAGAGCCGACACATGATGCGCTGGTTCTGGGCTCACCCAAGGAATCGTCACGTCCTGCCCATGACTGCTTAACCTCACAACCGTGTATTGAGCTTCCCGCGCTACAAGGCTGCACTCTCCGGAGATCAGCGGGGAGCAGCCCGCAGGTCTAGGACGTTTGTGGCCACACAAATAGGTACATTCTTTTTCATCTTACGTTAGACACCTTTAACGTTGTTTCAGCTGTGCCCTTAGCACGACAGAATGGGGCAGCAAAATGCGTCAGGCGTGGCTTCACCTGTTTGGTCCCAACACTCGGGCGAGTTGGACCAGTGGATACGGACATTCAGACTTTTCCTAATCGGTACGAGTTATGATCGGACTTTGAGTTTGCATGTGTGCCGTGGGGTGTAACTTTGTCGGACATTGTTTTCAAACCAGCATATGAATAGTTGCTGCCATGGTGTACCTCAGCGCGGTGACGACGACACTGAGGATTGACAGAGGATGTACGTAGGTGGGATCTTGCTGCGAGAAGTCGCCCACAAGAGATGTTACTCGTCTTGGCTGCGGGTAAATCTCTCGGTCAGGGTTGGGTCTCAGCAGCACAGTTTTCCATTCGCTCCCGAATTTTAACCAAGAGTTGTCATTTGATGGTACATTTAGCAAGCAGTCTTTGAGTTTTGTTACTTTTCACCTATGCGTTTGGGGGCGGGCTGGTGAGAGCCAGAAAGGACTCTACACCTCTGGGGGCCGCCAGCTCCGAGATCCCCTGCCAACTCTGTTAATGCTCATTTAAGACATTATCCGTGGCGCACGACGGGGACGTGCAACAGGAGTCTTGCATGAGGTTCCGTAAAACCAGAACAGTGAAGGACTGGCGCCCGAGTGGGGTACGGAATATCTCCTTATACACATCACATCAGACTTAACTTCCCCTCATGCCTGTGACCGAAATCACCGCGCCACACCAACAGTCTGTATTCAAGAGAAAGATCTGTAAAACTGATGCACACACAACACTCATGTTCTGGAGCAGGACTGCAGTTCAGTTGAGGGCAAGCAACCAGAACCTTTTGCCAGAGTTTACAGCTGGTGAACGTGAAGAAGAAGAAAGACTTCTTCTTCTTCACTTACTCCTAACACTTCGGGTGTCCAGGGATATAAAGTTGTGCTTCTTGTTCTTTTGGCCACCTCGGCCATATACACATCAGGGTGTTGTGTTTTTATGATGTTATTTTTCAATCTTGTTCTTGGTCTACCTTATGCTCTGTCTTTCCACTCTTTTGGTGTATGCCTTATATGGTAGAACACCACACTGATCTTCAGTATCACAATTATTCATTCATTCCTTCACTGTTCTGTTGTGTCATTATACATCACATTTGGCTCGCAGTCTGTTTCTCCATTCTGTTCTAAACTCTAGATCATGGATGGAATCCAGTCCAGTACATCTGGCTTCTCCATAACTGGCTTGCCTGAGAGGCAAAGAACCAGCAGTCTGCATACAAATGAGTCAGATCTGTAAAACGGATGCACATGCAACACTCAGATTCTGGAATGGGACTACAACCAGAACTTTCCGCCAGAGTTTACAGCTGGTAAATGCGAAGAAGAAGATGATTATTAGGAAATTAAAAATAAACTGAAGCCAACAGAAAATAACTATAATGAGCATCATCAACATAGATATTACGTTTAAAAAAAAGGTCACATGTATAGAAGGAAAGAAGCCCGGCTCTCTAGCGTAGTTGGCTAAACCGGATTGTGCGGTGACCAGGTGACAAACTCCTTGTGGTCCGGGGTAGGCAGAAAAGCCACATTTCTCCCAGATTTACGGTATTTACAATGGAATCTAGGCCGAAAGGTTGCGATATCCATAATACCGAGCCTAAGGGTTAACAACTCATGGCTTCTGGATACTAAAACAAACAGAAGGACAGAAATATAAACTTGTATTCAGTATACACATAGATCTTTCTGAAATTTAACAACGTAAGTTCTTATTCCTATGGTAGCCATACAATCACAAATGAATAAGATGTAAGTACTACCTCATAATAGTTAACATCATCATCCATCAAGAGCCAATTGGTCTATAAAATATAGGTCCAGGCCCACATGCCCAGTACAGGTCCAGGCCCACATGCCCAGTACAGGTCCAGGCCCATATGCTCAATACAGATCCAGGCCCACATTCCCAGTACAGGTCCAGGCCCACATGCCCAATAGAGGTCCAGGCCCACATGGCTCAATACAGGTCCAGGCCCACATACCCAGTACGGGTCCAGGCCCACATGCCCAGTACAGGTCCACAAGCCAAATACAGGTCCAGGCCCACATGCCCAATAGAGGCCCAGGCCCACATACCCAGTACCCCACAGGCTCAATACAGGCCCACAAGCCCAATACAGGTCCAGGCCCACATGCCCAGTATGCTTGAAGGTGTCTAAAACAGTCCTATACTTGACTTCTCCCACAGCAGATTTGGCCTATTCGGTTTTGACATTTTAGATCTTCTCATACTCTAGGTCAAAGAGTCTCCGAGGCAAAGTAGTCAAGCCGTCTGCCTAGTCCAGGCCCACATGCCCAGGCCCACCCACATGCCCAATACAGGTCCAGGCCCACATGCCCAGTACAGGTCCAGGTCCACATGCCCAGTATGCTTGAAGATGTATAAAACGGTCCTATACTTGACTTTTCCCACAGCAGATTTGGCCTATTTGGTTTTAGCATTTTAGATCTTCTCATACTCTAGGTCAAAGAGTCTCCAAGGCAAAGTAGTCAAGCCGTCTGCCTTGTGATCTGAAGGTCATGGGTTTATTTCATGGCTGTGTCGTTCAGTTTACGGGCGCAATTTTTACATAGACCTCTTGGAATCATTGCCGGAGCTATGATGTCTGTGCTTTCTGTGATGCTCTCAGCATGCGGCCAACCATTCTGTGGAGAAAGACTGAGCCGTGGTGGATACAACATAGTGCAAGGAAATTGATCCTCTCGTCTGTAACATTTAGGTCGTGGCATGGTGTTAAAGAACTCAATATGTTTGTAATAAATAGGTAGCTTTGTATTTCTCCACAGTAAGAATAAAAAAATAAAAAACTAGCACTGTTGATTGAGATTATTGTAATTTTACAGTCCACTTCGGTACTACGTATGTTCTGTGCTTTCTTCAAGCTTTGCAGCTCCTTGTCTAGCCAGAAGATCTGCTTCATCATTGGAAGGATCCCCACTGTGACCTCTGACATGGACCTATGGAGTCAAAATTAAATTATTATACTCAGAATTAATTTAAAAAAAAAAAAGTATTTTTGCTTAGCCCTGAGAAGACTAAATCAAGTCAATCCCGGCTATGAAACAGACTTGTAAATGCCAATATGTCACCAGTGACCTGTTCTCAAAAAAGCATAGTTAAATGCTATTGGTTCTGTGTGCACCTGCACAGTATTTAGGAGGCCAAGACATGAATATATTAACTAAATAAAGCATTTAGAGGGGTTTCCTTGTAAATCTTAAAGACAGGCTGATTCGAAATTTTCCCCATTAGCCTCAGTGATAAAGGTCAATGGGTTTCGACATGATCCACCAGACTATTAGCTTCAGGCCCGGGAAATGCCTTCCATGTAATACTTCACTGTGTTTTTGTTTACTGATCACTATATATTTCAAAAAATAAAATGTAATAGTAGATAAAAAAATTTTGTTTTCAGAAACACACACACCTATATGATCCAATTTTTTTAAATACCCACGGGGCGAAAGACCTATTAAAAGTAAAAGTTCTATTTCTATCTGTTTAAATCGACTGATACTTCTTCTTCTTCTTCTTGTTCACCGGCTGTGAATTCCGGCGGTAAGTCACGGTTGTTCGTCCAAAATGGAATTTTGGCTTTTACCTTGACCTGAGTTTTGAGTGTACATCCGTTTTACTGGCTTATTTGTTTGCAGTACTCGTTCCCCGCCTCTCCGGCAGATGTACTCCGACTTCGGAGGAAGACGTCAAGCCTATTTCTAGGTTGACTGTGGCCATTGTTTTGTGTGGGTCGAGATGTTGCCTTATTTGTGTGGTGTCCTCTTTGACTTTTAGCAGGTGTGGCCCCCGGCATGTCGTCCTTAAGGCAGCTCTATGTAGAGTTTTCAGCCCTCAAGGGAAGGCAGGGGCAGATCATGGGCATTCCCCGCCATCCAAGGAGGCTTCCATAAATGCAGAGCCGACACATGATGCTCTGGTTCTGGGCTCACCCAAGGAATCGTCACGTCCTGCCTATGACTGCTTAACCTCACAACCGTGTATTGAGCTTCCCGCGCTACAAGGCTGCGCTCTCTGGAGATCAGCGGGGAGCAGCCCGCAGGTCTAGGACGTTTGTGGCCACACAAATAGGTACATTCTTTTTCATCTTACGTTAGACACCTTTAACGTTGTTTCAGCTGTGCCCTTAGCACGACAGAATGGGGAAGCAAAGTGCGTCAGGCGTGGCTGCACCTGTTTGGTCCCAACACTCGGGCGAGTTGGACCAGTGGATACGGACATTCAGACTTTTCCTAATCGGTACGAGTTATGATCGTCGGACTTTGAGCTTGCATGTGTGCCGTGGGGTGTAACTTTGTCGGACATTGTTTTCAAGCCAGCATATGAATAGTTGCTGCCATGGTGTACCTCAGCGCGGTGACGACGACACTGAGGATTGACAGAGGATGTACGTAGGTAGGATCTTGCGGCGAGAAGTCGCCCACAAGAGATGTTACTCGTCTTGGCTGCGGGTAAATCTCTCGGTCGGGGTTGAGTCTCAGCAGCACAGTTTTCCATTCGCTCCCGAATTTTAACTAAGAGTTGTCATTTGATGGTACATTTAGCAAGCAATCCTTGAGTTTTGTTACTTTTCACCCATGCGCTTGGGGGCGGGCTGGTGAGAGCCAGAAAGGACTCTACACCTCTAGGGGCCGCCAGCTCCGAGATCCCCTGCCAACTCTGTTAATGCTCATTTGAGACATTATCCGTGGCGCACCACGAGGACGTGCAACAGGAGTCTTGCATGAGGTTCCGTAAAACCAGAACAGTGAAGGACTGGCGCCCGAGTGGGGTACGGAATATCTCCTTATACACATCACATCAGACTTAACTTCCCCTCATGCCTGTGACCGAAATCACCGCGCCACGACTGATACTGAACTGGTGATAAGGCCAACATTTTGCCTTAACTTTCCAAGGCAATTCTTCCTGGTGTATGGGGAATGAAGAAGTAGATTAACTGGCTAGTTTTGCAGCATATGCCTTTTAGCCCAAAATATCTGATTTAAGAAAACCCTTAATTATAATCTTTTTGACATGCATGTTAAGTAGCCCAACTCTGCTAAGACAGGTTGTAAGCCTGGCTGTAAAATGAGAAGGGTCTGGCTGAACCTAAGTGCTTCATCCATTTGCAGAAGTAGTGGGTAACCGTGAATCAGCCAGGCATCCTGCATGGAGGCAGCCCCTCTGCCATGCGAAGGTACTACAGGCCAATCACCGTTTTTTTTTTGGGGGATGAAATATTTGTTTGGGTAACCCATGCTGGAATAGCTTTACAGTAACGATGATCACTGAAGAAGTACAACACCACCAAGACTACATATTATTCTCCTATTCAAGAAGAATCTTACCCATTTCACATTTATCCCTTGTAATTCTTTGTCCAGTTCTTCAAAGTCTTTCTGGTTAATCACAGGGCTTCCCGTTGTTTTCTTCCATTGATTCCTTTTCCATCCCCGAATCCACTTTGTAATACCTTGGTTAAAAGTGGATAATATATATAATTCTTAACACAGCATCTGACAAATACAAAATAATACTGCATACTATAAGTTAACAATTTCTCACAATCAGCACTCAAATCGTATAGTACTTAGAGACCATGTGAAGGGTGATGTATCACACATCATACCGGCCACCTTTAATGGGTGATGTATCACACATCATACTGGCCAACTTTACTGGGTGATGTATCATACATCATACTGGCCAACTTTACTGGGTGATGTATCATACATCATACCGGCCACTTTTACTGGGTGATTTATCACACATCATACCTGCCACCTTTACTGGGTGATTTATCACAGATCATACCGACCACCTTTACTGGGTGATGTATCACACATCATACCTGCCACCTTTACTGGGTGATGTATCACACATCATACTGGCCACCTTTACTGGGTGATGTATCATACATCATACCTGCCACCTTTACTGGGTGATGTATCACACATCATACCGGCCACCTTTACTGGGTGATGTATCACACATCATACCGGCCACCTTTACTGGGTGATGTATCACACATCATACCTGCCACCTTTACTGGGTGATGTATCATACATCATACCGGCCACTTTTACTGGGTGATTTATCACACATCATACCTGCCACCTTTACTGGGTGATGTATCACACATCATACTGGCCACCTTTACTGGGTGATGTATCACACGGCCACCTTTACTGGGGGATTTATCACACATCATACCTGCCACCTTTACTGGGTGATGTATCATACATCATACCTGCCACCTTTACTGGGTGATGTATCACACATCATACCGGCCACATTTACTGGGTGATGTATCATACATCATACCGGCCACCTTTACTGGGTGATGTATCATACATCATACTGGCCACCTTTACTGGGTGATGTATCACACATCATACTGGCCACCTTTACTGGGTGATGTATCACACATCATACCTGCCACCTTTACTGGGTGATGTATCACACATCATACCTGCCACCTTTACTGGGTGATGTATCACACATCATACTGGCCACCTTTAATGGGTGATGTATCACACATCATACCGGCCACTTTTACTTCCCAGGACATTTCCTGATACACATTCCAGGCTGATCAACCTGGGAGTCCCTAGGTCAATTATAAAAATACATGCCATTGCAGAATCAAACCCAAGTCTCTGGAGCTCCATATGGGCTGGATGGAGGTAGACCCACTACCCCCCCCCCAAACAAACATGTTTTAAAAGTTGACTAATTGGGGGTGTTTTTTTCAAAGCTGGAGTGCACAAGCCTGAGAGACAAACAACCAGCAGTCTGCATACAAACAAGCCAGATATGTAAAAAGGATGTGCATGCAAAAATCAAGTTCTGGAACAAAACTAAAGTCCAGAAGAGAGGAAAAACAACCAGAACTTTTTGCCGGAGTTTAAAGACTGATGAAGTGTTATGCAACAGCATATGTTACTACAGCAATTTGTCAGAGATATTAGAATAAACAGGGAACATTCTGTAATAACATCTTGGGAAGAGAGTTACTGGATCATACTGTAACAACTGGTTCATTCATTCATTCAGTAGCATGTCCCTCGCGGAACCTCGCTGCCATAACAACCCTCCGGAAAACCTTCCTATCCTGAGCAAGATGTCCTGCGTCTGATACACCCATCTGGAGATCATCTGCCACATCCTGCACCCATCTTCTCCTTGGCCTTCCTCTTCCTCTCTTCCCAGGCATATACCCCTCCATTATTGTTCTCTCTAGACTTCCATGACGTTTCAAGTGACCAAAATATTTCAATTTTCTTTGTTTTATTGTCTTTACTAGCCAACCCTCTTCAATATTCAGCTCTTGAAGTATGGATGCATTTGTTCTTTTCTTCACCCAAGATATTCTTAGAACCTGTCTGTAACAACTGGTTAGATTAATTAAAAACAGAAACATAGAATGAAACAGTGTGTGCATCTGTGGACTTGTTCTCTATATCTTCCTCACTTTCTCCCGTGTATGCATGCTTGTAGTTCTCTATATCTTCCTCACTTTCTCCCGTGTATGCATGCTTGTAGTTCTCTATATCTTCCTCACTTTCTCCCGTGTATGCATGCTGGTAGTTCTCTATATCTTCCTCACTTTCTCCCGTGTATGCATGCTTGTAGTTCTCTATATCTTCCTCACTTTCTCCCGTGTATGCATGCTTGTAGTTCTCTATATCTTCCTCACTTTCTCCCGTGTATGCATGCTTGTAGTTCTCTATATCTTCCTCACTTTCTCCCGTGTATGCATGCTGGTAGTTCTCTATATCTTCCTCACTTTCTCCCGTGTATGCATGCTTGTAGTTCTCTATATCTTCCTCACTTTCTCTCAAGTATGCATGCTTGTAGTTCTCTATATCTTCCTCACTTTCTCCCGTGTATGCATGCTTGTAGTTCTCTATATCTTCCTCACTTTCTCCCGTGTATGCATGCTGGTAGTTCTCTATATCTTCCTCACTTTCTCCCGTGTATGCATGCTTGTTGTTCTCTATATCTTCCTCACTTTCTCCCGTGTATGCATGCTTGTAGTTCTCTATATCTTCCTCACTTTCTCCCGTGTATGCATGCTTGTAGTTCTCTATATCTTCCTCACTTTCTCCCGTGTATGCATTCTTGTAGTTCTCTATATCTTCCTCACTTTCTCCCGTGTATGCATGCTTGTAGTTCTCTATATCTTCCTCACTTTCTCCCCGTGTATGCATGCTTGTAGTTCTCTATATCTTCCTCACTTTCTCCCGTGTATGCATGCTTGTAGTTCTCTATATCTTCCTCCCTTTCTCCCGTGTATGCATGCTTGTAGTTCTCTATATCTTCCTCCCTTTCTCCCGTGTATGCATGCTTGTAGTTCTCTACATCTTCCTCACTTTCTCCCGTGTATGCATGCTTGTAGTTCTCTATATCTTCCTCACTTTCTCCCGTGTATGCATGCTTGTAGTTCTCTATATCTTCCTCACTTTCTCCCGTGTATGCATGCTTGTAGTTCTCTATATCTTCCTCACTTTCTCCCGTGTATGCATGCTTGTAGTTCTCTATATCTTCCTCACTTTCTCCCGTGTATGCATGCTTGTAGTTCTCTATATCTTCCTCACTTTCTCCCGTGTATGCATGCTTGTAGTTCTCTATATCTTCCTCACTTTCTCCCGTGTATGCATGCTTGTAGTTCTCTATATCTTCCTCACTTTCTCCCGTGTATGCATGCTTGTAGTTCTCTATATTTTCCTCACCTTCTCCCGTGTATGCATGCTTGTAGGCACCCACCCACACACACAATAAACTATCTTGGACATATAATATTAGAGAATTCATAAACGCAGAAGAAGAAAAAGATATCAGAGAATTACAGGTGTATAAAAAAAAATTGGTGTCTCATGCTGCGAACCCATGACCTCTTACACTGAGGCTTACGGGAAATTCTGACACAAACTTGGCTTTGAAAAAACTGTTTGGCTTATAGGAAACCCCCACCATCATATCCTATTTTTAGTTAATGTATTCAAATCCTGACCTTCTTAATATTTGTGCAGGTATGAAAATAGCAAATAGTATTAACCATGTGTCTCGTAAACAGGTCCCTACAGACAAGCCGGAAAAATGACATTCACAAGGAAATAGACCCAACCGGAGTTGTTGTATGTATGCATTCACCGGCTCTAAAACCCAGCAGAAAGACCTGGTTGTTTGACCATTTCTGGACTTTGGCTTTGTTCCAGGACATGAGTCGTGTGTGTGCATCCATTTTACAGACCTTGCTTATTTGTATGCAGACTGTTGGTTCCCTGCCTCTCAGGTAGATGCACTCTGACTCTGAAGAAAGCCCCTATTAGTCGACTTCTACTACATGCTAGTTGGGGAGGCAGTGGATCCCACAATGGGATCCTGGAACCCACACTGGGATCAAAACGGAAGTATCAGTTCTGTTGCTTCTCTGAGCAAAAGTTTCAGAGTTGTACAGAATTAGGACTATCCATGCAGGCTGGCCTTACTATTCTTTTTCTTCTTCACATTCACTGGCTGTAAACTCGGATAATTCTGGTTCTTTGTCCACCTCTGGACTCTAGTCCTGTTCTGGAACCTCAGTGTTGTGTGCGCATCTATTTTACAGATCTGACTCATCTGTATGTACACTGTTGATTCCTTGCCTCTCACTCTAACTACATGTTTGTTCGGAAGGCAGTGGGTCTATTCTTGCTCCCCGCTCCCCCAAAATGGGGTCCCCAGAACCCTCAAGGTTAACTAAGGATTATGGTTATAATTAAAGGTTTCAACCATTCACAGTTTTCTTATAAAACGTACAAAACTCACCATTGATTAAAAACTGACTATCTGTATGAAGAATCAAATTCTGTATTCCTTTCTTCTTAGCAATCTGCACAGCACGAACAGCAGCCTTAATGACAAAATAAAGACAAAACAATACACTTTGGTCTCTAAAAACAGAATACATGATATATTATGAGTTTGCATCTGAGAGGGGAAAAAGAACACCAAAGAGAAAAAAAGAGAGAGAGAGAGAGAGAGAGAGAGAGAGAGAGAGAGAGAGAGAGAGAAGAGAGAGAGAGAGAGAGAGATTGAAAGGGATGGAAAAGGAGGAGAAAGAGAAAGACACCTACTGTTACATTTATTTCTTATTTTTTTAAGCCAAAAAAAAAAAAAAAAAAAACTTTTTCAGGTGTTCACTAAGCACATTTTTTTTTTAACGTTCCCATGTTTTCCACCACCTAGAAAATCTAAATTCTGTCCCCAGAGTTTTCTTATTTTTCAAGTTTGCTATGACAACTGGATTTCAATTGTCTGTTTTCTCTACTTCCTTACCTGGTGAACAGTGTAACATGTAACCCTGGTGAACAGTGTAACCATGGTGAACAGTGTAACATGTAACCCTAGTGAACAGTGTAACATGTAACCCTAGTGAACAGTGTAACATGTAACCCTAGTGAACAGTGTAACATGTAACCCTGGTGAACAGTGTAACATGTAACCCTGGTGAACAGTGTAGCATGTAACCCTGGTGAACATGTAACATGTAACATGTAACCCTAGTGAACAGTGTAACATGTAACCCTGGTGAACAGTGTAACATGTAACCCTGGTGAACAGTGTAACATGTAACCCTGGTGAACAGTGTAACATGTAACCCTGGTGAACAGTGTAACATGTAACCCTGGTGAACAGTGTAACATGTAACCCTGATGTAACCCTGGTGAGTGACATGTCTCAAACTGGCATGACCAGCTAAGTAAAATCTATTAGAATGTAATTTGTGTTTACTCACATGGATTTCCGCTCTGTTGTTTGTTGGTCTGCCTGGAAGTCGTTCACTGACATTGCTAGACACACACACACACACATTAAAAAAAAAAAAAGATAATTACAAATGTTTATATACAACTATATTCATATTCACTTTTGTGACAATATACTTCAACCATCTTAGGTTGAAATGTGTATTAACAACCCAGCACTCTGCTAGGAAGAGTGCTGACTAGTCTATAAAAATAGTCTAGCCCTATATGCCCAATACACCTGAAGGTGTAGAAAAGGATACTTTCCTTTTACTTTACTTCAGTTACTTAAAAGTAAAATTTTTCTTGCTAATTATAGCATCTCTGTTTGGGTACCGGGACTCCACTTTAGGGAGAAGAAGAACAGACCCACTACCCCCCCCCCCCTTTTCTCCAACAAATATGCTGTAAAAGGTGACTAGGGGCGTGCCCTAAGAAGTCAAAGTGCATCTGCCTGAGAGGCAAGGAATCAACAGGCTGCTTACAAATATAGCAGAGATCTATAAACCAGCCACCTTTACTGGTTGATGTATCACACATCATTCCAGCCACCTTTACTGGGTGATGTATCACACATCTTTCCAGCCACCTTTACTGGGTGATGTACCATACATCATTCCAGCCACCTTTACTGGGTAATGTATCACACATCATTCCGGCCACCTTTACTGTGTGATGTATTGCACATCATTCTGGCCACCTTTACTGGTTGATGTATCACACATCATTCCGGCCACTTTTACTGGGTGATGTATCGCACATCATTCTGGCCACCTTTACTGGGTGATGTATCACACATCATTCTGGCCACCTTTACTGGGTGATGTATCACACATCATTCCGGCCACTTTTACTGGGTGATGTATCACACATCATTCTGGCCACCTTTACTGGGTGATGTATCACACATCATTCCAGCCACTTTTACTGGGTGATGTATTGCACATCATTCAGGCCACCTTTACTGGGTGAAGTATCACGCATCATACAAGGTTTAACAAAACTCAAGTTCTGGAACAAAACCAGGTTTTATTTTTCTGGCAGTTTGCAGCCTTTGCACCTTTTAAAACCATCATTTAATTTGGCACTATTGTGATAGACACTTTGTGGTGAGTACCCAAACCTTTTATAGACACTATGTAGTGAGTACTAGCATCTTTAAATCTAGAGGGGAAAAAAAAGCCCTCAACAATGACAAAAGTCCAGAAGTGGACGAACAACCAGGGTCATTACACATGGTTATAAACCATAAGTGCTCTACCATCAGTACGGACAGCTGATAAGAAACTGTCCGTCTGTGTCGCCTGCCGCACGCAGCGATGTTTCTCCATTTATCCCAGAGTGTTAACTAGAGGCTGGGTGAACCCAGGGAATCGCCTGGTTTAAAACACCGGCCACGGGCTGCAGCGAGTCGCAGTTGGATTTGAAAGCTAGTCTCCTATCGACTGTGCTAACGCGGCCCCCAGAGAATGGAATGCAGAAACAGACTGTGACAAGACAATGAACAAATGAATGAACTTAAAAAATATCTCAGAATGTGGCAAAATCTTACTCCACATCATTCCTGGCCCAGAAAACCCCAATCCCTGCCCTGGCTCCATTTCTCCCATTGTCAAAGCAGCCTCCATCTGTGTAGACATGAGAGCCTTCTGATTCAAGGAACTTGCTGCCTGTTGAAATTAATGATCCAATAACTACTGTCATAATTCATATAGGTTACTAACTATAATCTGAAGATTCAATGTTTTTCCCACCAGGGTCCCTTTATGGGGGAAACAAGAATAGATCCACTGTCCATCCACCACTCCCCCCCCCCCCCACCCTTTTCCCAACCAGCATGTGGTAACAGTTGAATAAACAGGAAAATTTCCCTCACAGTGCAGTCAGAATGCACCTGCCAGAGAGATAAGGAACCAATAGTCTATTTACAAAAAGACAATCTGGATCTGTAAAACGGATGTGCATGAACAACCAGAATTTTCTGTTTGAGTTTACAGCCAGTGAATGCCAATAAGAAAATATATAAATTTTACTTTAACAAGTTACAACAGAACTCAAAATGATGCCTACGGCATAGAAGTGAAGAAGTAGCAACCCTTTTAGGTAAAACTAACTAATATTCATGATATATTAACAACCAATATGAAACATTTTGTCATTAAATGCTGAATTTTAGCAGGATTAGTGAGAAATTATGGGATATTTGATCAAGATCTACAGAAAATAATTCTTAATGTGATAGTATATAATATAATAATATCAACAATTGCTTACCCGTGAAACAATCTTTATTATTGTCAAACTTTGGCCTCTTTTGTCTAGATTCATTCGCTGCACTTGTACAGAAAGCACGCTTCGATCCTGGAGCTGTTAGAATAGTTATGGGCAAACTATTAAATACAATTAACAACAATATATGTTATAGTTTTACCACTAACAGTTCATTGTTTTTCCCAATGTGGGTTATCGTTTCTCCAGGAATGCCAGCGTAGTAGGTAAATAACAGGCAGATAGATTGGCTGGATCTGCACCACTGGGTGGTGAATTGATACATGACAAGGCAAATGTGATGCCCTTTTGAAAAAAAAAGCAACGGAATCAGTAGAGAAACAAGATTATTATGGCCTGGAGTGAATAAGGCACCTGAGTATAACCAGAGGGTCTGGCTGGCTCACTACACTAAGACGGACATATAACCAGATTGTGACTGGTACCATCAGTTTTGGAACAGCGCTGGCTGCTGAAGATAAAGACGGAGCACACATGGGAATGCACCCGAGTGCTGTGATATCAATTCTTGACTCAACTCTCAGTGAGGATTCCGTAGGAGAAAAAAAAATAGACCTACTCACAGTCACTATTTTTTCTAGATCAAGACTCTGCATACACTTTTTTCTTCCTTTTTATCAATTAATTAAAAAAACACATTTTGATCTTTGGTTTCTTTCTCATCAGAAATCTGTTAAATATGTCCAAACCACTAAGTATAAAGTAAAAAGAAACCTTCTAAATATATCCTTGTGTATATATAAAAGACAGCTACTGTATACCTTTAGGATTGTTGTGCACACAGTGGCAGTGAGGACTATTATTTTCCTAGAAACAACCGGGCCAGTACACACCACAAAGTGTCTTCCCAAATACACATAAAGTAAAGGATGGACCAGTACACACCACAAAGTGTCTTCCCAAATACACATAAAGTAAAGGACGGACCAGCACACACCACAAAGTGTCTTCCCAAATACGCATAAAGTAAAGGACGGACCAGCACACACCACAAAGTGTCTTCCCAAATACACATAAAGTAAAGGACGGACCAGCACACACCACAAAGTGTCTTCCCAAATACACATAAAGTAAAGGACGGGCCAGCACACACCACAAAGTGTCTTCCAAAATACACATAAAGTAAAGGACGGGCCAGCACACACCACAAAGTGTCTTCCCAAATACACATAAAGTAAAGGACGGGCCAGCACACACCACAAAGTGTCTTCCCAAATACACATAAAGTAAAGGACGGGCCAGCACACACCACAGAGTGTCTTCCCAAATACACATAAAGTGAAGGACGGGCCAGCACACACCACAGAGTGTCTTCCCAAATACACATAAAGTAAAGGACGGGCCAGCACACACCACAGAGTGTCTTCCCAAAATACACATAAAGTAAAGGACGGGCCAGTACACACCACAGAGTGTCTTCCCAAATACACATAAGTAAAGTAACCAGGACGGGCCAGTACACACCACAAAGTGTCTTCCCAAATACACATAAAGTAAAGGACGGGCCAGTACACACCACAAAGTGTCTTCCCAAATACACATAAAGTAAAGGACGGACCAGCACACACCACAAAGTGTCTTCCCAAATACACATAAAGTAAAGGACGGGCCAGTACACACCACAAAGTGTCTTCCCAAATACACATGAAGTAAAGGACGGGCCAGTACACACCACAAAGTGTCTTCCCAAATACACATAAAGTAAAGGACGGGCCAGCACACACCACAAAGTGTCTTCCCAAATACACATAAAGTAAAGGACGGGCCAGCACACACCACAAAGTGTCTTCCCAAATATACACATAAAGTAAAGGACGGGCCAGCACACACCACAAAGTGTCTTCCCAAATACACATAAAGTAAAGGACGGGCCAGCACACACAAAGTGTCTACAAATACACATAAATGTCGGACCAGTCCCCAAAAATACACATAAAGTAAAGGACGGACCAGTGCACACCACAAAGTGTCTTCCCAAATACATATAAAGTAAAGGGCTCTTTTTTTCCATGACTTCATGCATATTGAGTATTTAGTGATCGGCCTATATTTTACAGACCAATCGGCATTTGGTGGGCGATGTGGTCAACATAATGCAGGCATACTTGACTTACTAGAACTTTACCTGGTACCCATTTAAGGCTGGATCAACCTAGCAGCCAAGGTTCCCCACCCCACCCCCCCCCCCCCCCCCAAGTCAGGCTCCATGGATTATACATAATCCCAGTATGGGTTCTGGGGCCCTGTTACAGGGAAAACAAGAATAGACCCACTGCCTACCCAAAAGCATGTCATAAGAGTTTTCTAATTGGGAGCTTCCTTTAAATTCGGTGTGCATCTGCCATAGAGGCAAGGAACCAGCAGTCTGCATTCAAAACTCAGGATCTGGAACAGGACTGCAGTCCAGAAGTGGATGAACAACCAAAACTTTCCGCCAGAGTTTACAGCTGGTGAACGTGAAGAAGAAGAAGAAGAAGAAGAAGAAATATACATAAAGCTAGCAGCAAATCCATACCCATAAATGTCTTTTCAAGTCTGCAGACTGTGGACTGAACTTCTGTCAGCCCCACACTGAGCTTCTCCACAACTCCATAGATATTTTGTATGGATGCTTTCATATCTTCCACAGCGGAACTTAGTGAAGCAACAGTTGCTACGTTCTGACACTGACTGCAATTACTGCAGCTGGTAGATGACACTGGAGCTTTCTGCGAAGCATCAGGACAGCTGAATGTGCTGACATTTGTAAGTGCTTTGGAAACTTGGAAAGCAAAGCTTGTGTCCTCTTGTTTGACTGGTTGTAAAGTAGCGTTAGAGGAAGCTAATGAATGATTGAAAACAAAGAAAAAAGTATATAATTAACAAATTTAAAACATTTAAAAAATAAAAAATTTTCTTTTTCTTATTTTTCAACGGAACATAGGCCCTCAACCAAAGCGGTGTCAAACCATTCTGTACATGTAGCTCACTTACTATCCTTCTGATGTTTTAATTTCCTCTTTTACCACTTTGAGTTTCAAATGAGACAAAGTTCTGCTTCTTGCTCTTCTGGCTGCCTTGACTAAAGACACATCTTGCTGTTGTAGAGTTTCTCTGATATTATCATTCCATCTTGTGTCATGGTCTACCTCATTTTTTATGTCCTACTTTTATGGAGTGTGTGCCTTCTGTGGTATGGCATCACAAGGCATTCTTTCTAAGTTGGTAAACCATTTTATTTGCTGTCTATGTATATAATTTTAAATGTCTTTTTTCTCTGATGACCTCATTCCTGATTTTATCTCTTCTGGTCACTCCTGCAGCCCTCATTTTCTGGCTTGTTGTGATTGACTATGTCTGGCACTGGTAGCATAGGTGGGAATGAATATACTTTGAATGTGAGATGTTTCTGTGTGCTGATCAAGACTGAATTGTGCTGTACGGGTGGGGGGAGGGGAAGGCCTAGCTGTCCCAAAACATCATTCCACGGTGGGGAATGCCCATGTCCTGCCCCAGCCTTGCCTTGAGGGCCAACCAGTCTGTCTGCCCATGTTCTGCCCAGGCCTTGCCTTGAGGGCCAACCAGTCTGTCCTGATTTTGTTATTTCTTCTTCTAATCACTATATTTTGATTCTGTCATATCATTCAAGGTGATAATTCAAACTAACAATACATTGCTGAGTCAATTATCTTAAACTGCCCGCTCTGGCAAGCTTCTCATTATTTATCTTCTTCTGTACTCGCCCACAAAAAGGCCCTTGGTGTGTTGTGTTGTGATTACAGCTAGGCTGAGATATCTATGCCTTTCGGTCCAACACATCCAATCTCAGCAAAACACTATTTAGTCACCTTTAATGATATTCTTATTTGGGCAGGGCTCCCCGTGTGGGTTCTGGGGCCCCATTGTGGGGAAAACAAGAATAGACCCACTGCCTCGCCAACATGCCGGTCGTAGGAGTCGACCAATAGGGGACTTCTTTTGATGTCGGAGTGCATCTGCCTGAGAGGTCAGGAACCAACAGTTTATGTACAAAGAAGCCAGATCTGTGAAACGGATGTGCACATGAAAACTCAAGTTCTAGAACATGGCCTAAGTCCTGAAGTGGACAAACAACCAGAACTTTTGCCTGAGTTAACAACCGGTAAACACTAAGAAGAAAAAAGAAGAAGAAGCTGTTGAATTACTTAAATAAAATGACTGCAGAAAGGAAAAGAGCTGAGTGTTGGAGAAGAAATACACTAAATGCATGCAATGACAACATCGGTCCTGAAACCCCCCCACGCACTAATTGTGGAAGACTTCTTAAGGTAGGTGGGTCTTGCTAATCACACTTACCACTACTATGGGTTGTGATCCCTATGCCTCCCCATAGCACAATATTACACCATCCGCTGCAAAGACAGAAAGGTGTCAACCAACTTTTGGCTTTCACATAATTTCCTGTACCCTCACTGATACCAACCTCCCCCCACCTCCCTTTTCAATCAGCATGTCATAAGGGCAACTAATTAGGAGTGCATCTGCCTGAGCAGCAAGAACCCACAGTCTGCAAACAAAAAAGCCAGATCTGTAAAACGTATGTGCATGCAAAACTCAAGTTCTTGAACAAGACCAGTCCAGAAGTGGACGAACAACCAGAACAAAGTTTACAACCAGTGGATGCAGTGAAGAAGTTTTCATATAAAGAAAAATATTCTTTTATTTTTGTTTTACTGCTAATCTGTTAAGTGTAAATCATAAATTTAAATTAAAAAAACCATACATGGAACGATGGGTATTTTACCATTCAGTGCAGTGAATTCATAAGCAGCTTCATATGACAAAAATTTCCTAAATGCTGGATTAGGAAATCCTTTCACCTGGTTTTCACATTCAGACCTAAAACAAACATAAAATAAACCTTTATTACAGAAACATATCAAGCAAAGGAAATAATGTTCTGGTAATGTTGGTCACACTATTGTATGGGGCGGAAACATGGAGAACAACCAAGGCAATTACTAATAAATTACAGACATTCATTAACTGGTGCCTGCGCAGAATAGAGGGAATACAATGGTATGGTAGAATAACTAATGTAGAACTTTGGGAGAGAACTAAACAGGCTCCAGTGGATCAGGAAGTGAGGAAAAGATGCTGGCGTTGGATAGGGCACACACTGAGAAAACAGGAGGCACACACTGAGAAAACAGGAGAACAGCATTACTAGAATGTCTTTGCATTGGAACCCACAGGGGCATAGGAATAAAGGAAGGCCAAAAAACACATGGAGAAGAGAGCTGGAGAACGAGGTTAGAAAGATTGGGAGGACATGGGGAGAGCTCCATGCAATGGCGAAGGATGGAACGACTTGGCGTGAGTTGGTTGAGGGCCTATGCTCCATTGGGGGATAGAAAGGCAGAAGAAGAAGTAGAATGTTGGTCACACAAGCATAAGTTAAGACCGTGCTGTGTCCAGGGGGATACTGGGATACCCTGTAACTTAATTCAAGCGCCAGAACGTCCTCTGCTGGTTTTATTAAAGATGCTAGACTCCTGCAACAATGTGCACTACAGATAATGACCTTCATGGGCTTAAAATTAACTGGCAGGTAATTTCAGAGCAGAAATTAATCCAGTGGAACTGTGACTAAAACGCTTAACGGGATGGAGAAGCAGAACAACGTAAACAAAACACACAAATGACGCTTGGGCCGGGGTCTTTCTCGATATGAACTAACTATACAACAATAATAAGGCGGAGAGTAGTCCAACCACCAGCGCCCACCTAGGAGTCAGGTGAGAAACTACAAAAAAGTGATGTGGAATGAATTAAGTAAAAAAATAAAAAAAAGAAGGCTAGAAAAACAGTAATAAAAGTACTAGTGATAATATATATAACAAAGAAGGAATAAAAGAATAGCAGAAAAACAAATGTTAATGACTCATAAGTGGTACTGCTAAGAGATAGAATTAAATAATAACATGAAATAAAAACAAATTCAGAAACAGAAAAGCATCCCGCACTCATGAGCCCACCCTCACTGCAAGGGCAATGACATCAAACAGAAAACTCTTACCAAAAAAATGGATTCTAAAGTCCACTGACCATCACTTCTACTAAATTTCAAATTTTGGTTAAAATGTGCACAATAGATATTTATTTCTACAATGTCATTTTCACTTTATAATTCCACTGAGTGAGAATCCTACTAACTACTATTATATACAAAGCAAAACAAAAACAAACAAACAAAAATGAAGAAGAAAAAGAAATAGTAATAGCCAAGCAAAAGCAGAATTCCACAAGATGAAAAAAAATTTTACTTTACAATTAATCTTTGTCAAAAGAGGTGAAAAGGAGAGTTCATATGAGCCATAAAGTAAAGAAAATGTATTAATCAGCACTCATAGAAAGAAGAAAGATTGAAGAACACACTAGACAACATAAAAATCGAAAGCTATTGTTACCGTGCCGGGAATCAAACCTGTCATCAGACGGCGTGTGCGTCTCGCTATGGAAACAAGTGCACTAAGAACATGGTGAACTAGGCACCCCCAAAAAAGGTGTCTTATTGGCCATGTCTATCATAAAGGGCCACTCCAGATGTGTGGAACTGATTATAGACAATTAGTAGATTACTGACAAATTATGTCGAAGTTGGGGAGGGTGATGGCTAGACGCTCTTAGGTTAGAATCCACAGTCAGATTTATTTCAAAATTGACCTTGGCAGCAAGGTCGATCCAGTGTAAAATGGGTATCAGGTAATGTGATGGGAACTAACAGTATTTCTGTCTCCCTACTGAATACAGCGAGCATGGAAACACTGAGGTGGCTTCTGCATCGGAGGATGAATGGGTCAGGCCAATGTCCTAGGATTTCGAATTAGATAACAAGTAACAAATATTGAAATAACAAGTAAAGGCAGCGGCACAACACCAACAGAGTGCCAATTGTTTAATATGAGCCAAGCAGTAAAGTCAAAGAGGGTTGGTTGGTTATTATTTTTTCTCTTTTTACTTTATGTGGCATCTGCAGAGCCCCACACCTCATCTTAGAGTCTAAATCTAAATCTAAGTCTAAATCTTAGTCTTACAATCTAACATTCGAGATAAGCGTTCCATGAATGATTCCTGATGACTGAGGTACAAAAGTAAGGCCAGGAAAAGAAACTGAAAAGATAAAGAAAAGAATAATGCAATGAGTATGAGATTATGATTATGGATCACGAACGGAACACTGTTTATTCACTAGCCTAGCATGCATAATTATTCACATGGTGGATATTTGTCTATTTAGAATATTTTCCCACTAAACACTTGCTAAATAAATATATTATTATTAAAATTAACAATACTAATAAAAATAAGATGAGATGACTGCATTGCTCAGAGGTCGCTCACCAAGTTGAGTAAACGCCGGGTACACGTCCCCGTTTTACAGCATAGAACGTCGGCTCTGATTTTGGCATGGCTCTGAATAAGCTGGCACTGAAGCTGACTATGAAACGTATCATTAACAACGTCTTTATTTAAATGTGAAGTTGTCTCATGCTGCACAGGCAGAAAAGTTTCTCTCCCTGCACGTTTTTCTTCCAACTTCGATGTGTTTATACTCAAACTCAGGAAACAGACAAATGTGATCTTTGTTGGAAGAAGATCTCTAGACTCCAAAATGTCAACATATTGTTCGTCCATAACAAGTGATGAGGACCACTCTTTATTTAATCATGAAACTATAGTCAACAGCATTAGGACCATGTTTAAGGCGTTAACTGGTTCCCCCCCCCCACACCCCCTCCCTTTTTCCCCAATGAACGTGAATGAAATGGAAAAACGTCGTTTAAAAAAAAATTATAGTAACCTGCACAGAACTACGGGTTACACTGTAAGTACAGTAACCGTTTGTGCCGCCCCAATATTTACTATGCTATACGATTAAACGGGATTTCTTAGATGTGTACCAGTTAGATTCTCATCCTTGAGATACTCACCCTACAGAATTCAGATTTGGGTGCGGGGTGGGGGGTTCATAAGTAAACAACGAAACTACAAACCCAGCCACACTAGACTACATGTTACTTTTTAAACGTTTTGTGGTACAACATTATCACAGTGCTATTTGGCTACACGGTTGAAGGGGATTTAAGGAATTTGTAAGTGTTTGATTCTCATCCTTGAGATGCTATTCCTAGGGGTTGCAATCCTGGAGGCGTGAAAAGGAAGACACTTACGTCAGAACCTACTTACACTGGACGACAAGTTGCTTCATACATAACCGTTTTGTGATGCCGTAGAATAACTGTGCTATATGACCATAGGGTTGAAGGGGTTTATTAGATTTGTACTAGTTTGATTCTCATCCTTGAGATATTAATCATGCGGAATCTGGGGTGGGGGCGGGGGGTTAAGTTAATAAACTACAGGTGCTTATCAAGAACATGCCCGCATATCGCCGTAACGCGAGAGTTCCTCCCTCTCCCATTCATGCCGTGACCGTTCCCATGGCCTGTCCTATGAGATGGGTGCGTTCGGTGTTCCCTTGCTCGCCGCATATATTGTTTCTGGGAGACTGTGTCGTTGTGAGTGCGTTTGAAGCACAGTATGCACCTGTGTACATGTAAGAAGTACTGCAGGGGGAATCGCCTAAAGCGTGACAGTTTGTGAGTATCGAAGCTAATATTTTTTTTTATTTCTACGTTCCTTGGCGGTGCACCTACCCCACACCCACCCCCCTTAAAAAAAAGAAGCCACTGTCAAGGAATGTGGAAATACAAAACCATGTCAGTTTCAAAACTCAGGAACCTTCACGCAAGTAGCACAAAGTATAAATAATCACGCAACTGAGCGGTACAACACGAAAAGAAAGAACGGTTTAAAATAAGGAATACATCACCCCCCCCCCCCCACCCCTGTACCAAATTTAAAAATCCATAACTACCCACAATGAACTACAGATTACTTCGTAGCAGTTTTGTTGTGCCGTAAAATCTATGTGCTATATGACTAAATGGTTGAGCGGGTTTTTCTGGATTTGCACCTCTTTGATTCTAATCCTTGAAATGTGAATCCTGCAGAATTCCATTGGCAAAAATTATTTTTATATAGTTATCTCTCTACTGTCCATGCAGTACATAAGCCTATACTTAAATTTAAAGAATATTAATAAGATTAGCATGGCACATTTACACAGACGGTTCAGTGTCAAAAGGCAAAAGAAGTGCTTGGGGCTTTTTAGCAAAAGTTAATGGTCGACGTTTAGTACAGGAGAGCCTAGCATATGATACCACAACATCCAGCTTAAGAATGGAGGTGGAGGTGGTCACTGCAGCTTTCCGCTGGCTAGAGAACACGACACACACACATTGTAATTATAACTGATTCAGAAAGCATGCTGAGGAAGATCAGAAAAGGTATGCTTCGTACAGAGTGGCGTGCTTCGCTGCGGAGGACACGAGTGAGGAGTATTGTCTGGATTTTTTTTCACCGGGTCACGCCGGTGTGTTGGGAAATGAACAGGCGTACAGACTGGCTGGTTCTGCACAACTTGGTGAAATACTGCTACATGATAGGGCAGACGTGGTTAGTGCCTTGTGGAAGAGCGTGTACAATGCGGAGGAGCAGATGGATCACCACAGTCTGGTGAGATTGATGCAGTTGGGGATGACGAGAGGTTCTGGCAGAAGCTCAAGGCTCAGAGGAAAGGCAAGACGGACGTTTAATCAGAAAGCTACTGGCACCATTAGTATCGGAACTCTTCGGTGGCTGCTGAAGATGGGGACGGAGCGCTTATGGGAATGCCCCGAGTGCTGTGATGTCGGTTCTTGAATCAAATCAAATCAAATCAAAACCTTTGCAAGAATGACACGCATATTCGTGAAGAGATTAATTTTGTTATGGCAGCCTGGTAAACTTTACTTAGTCAATCCTATTCTATTATGGGGTGTAGAGGTTTGCCAGACTTCTATATGGGTAGTTTTCTTTCGGGCTTTTCCCCCAGTTCCAAGGACTATCGGATGTTGTCTTCCCATCGAACCCTAGAGGTTTTGTAAACTTGTTTCCCTGGTTCTTAGCCTACCATGGTGGCCGAATCTCTTACCATTCTGCATACATGTCCAAACCATCGTTAATGTAACTGCCCCACAAAAGTTTGTATTGCCTAGGTTTAAACACCCTGATGTATTTTCTAATTGTGCTTGCATCTAACGAGACCATACCATCGTCTACTTTTCTATAAATTGTTCGTCAGCATTGCACTGATTATTACCTCCCTTGATTATAAGGGAATAAATCAAAGATGATTTAACTATCTCAAAAATGTTTTTTGTTAAAAGTAATTATATAATTTAGTTAATTCTAATTATTTATTAATTATTTGTATTCATTTTAAGACATATAACATATTTCTATAGGATATAATACAAAATTAAGTCAGTTTTATAGTATTTAAATATATAAGCCTAACATTGCTTTATAATATGCAAAACACATAAACCACTTAGACAACTGTAAAGAATAGTTTTCGGTATATATAATAGACGAAGAATGTATATTCTGTACTGTTCACGCAGTCATTCATTCAGTAGCATGTCCCTCGCGGAACCTCGCTGCCATAACAACCCTCCGGAAAACCTTCCTATCATGAGCAAGATGTCCTGCGTCTGATACACCCATCTGGAGATCATCTGCCACATCCTGCACCCATCTTCTCCTTGGCCTTCCTCTTCCTCTCTTCCCAGGCATATACCCCTCCATTATTGTTCTCTCTAGACCTCCATGACGTTTCAAGTGACCAAAATATTTCAATTTTCTTTGTTTTATTGTCTTTACTAGCCAACCCTCTTCAATATTCAGCTCTTGAAGTATGGATGCATTTGTTCTTTTCTTTACCCAAGATATTCTTAGAACCTGTCTGTAACATTTATATTCAAATGCATTTATGCGCTGTTCCGCTTGTTTAGTAAGTGTCCAGGTCTCACAGGCGTATGTTGCAATGGGAAAGATGCATGCTCTTAAAAATCTGACCTTTGTAATTCTATCTGTACAATTCCATAATTTATTCAGTTGTTTTAGTCTTTGAAGAGCAATTGATAGTCGCCGTTTAATTTCTTTCATTGTGTCACCATTGTTGGTAACCAGTGACCCAAGATATTCGAAATTTTCCACCACTTCCAATCTTTCCTCATTAACATATATTTCCTTCTCCATGGCAGTTTTGTTTGTATGCATTATCTTTGTTTTTGCTGTGTTAAGAAATAAGTTATGATTTTCACTATTTCTTTGGAGTGAGGTTAATAAGTTTTCTAAACCATTTTGTGATGTTGATAGTAATACTGTATCATCAGCATAACGAATTTCTGGTATTTCATGACCACCGATGTTTAGGGCATCATATTGTTCCTTGTTTATATCATCTCTTACATTTCTCATTATATTTTCGGCGTACAGGTTGAACAAATACGGTGACAGCACACACACAGTTCACGCAGTACATATACTAAAATTGGAACGATACAGAGAAGATTAGCATGGCCCCTGCGCAAGGATGACACGCAAATTCGTGAAGCGTTCCATATTTTTTTCTTTTACTTTGTTGTGTGGGTTACCTGTTTTATGGGGTTTGGATTTTGCAAATCGGATGGGTATCACGAATAATTTTTTGTGTGTGGCACTAGTGTACTCCCAAATCCTCCACAAAAGCTCACAAGTGTAAAACGACCGACTACCCCTGCCCAGTGTTGTTTATCAAATTCGGTCTTGTCCTCTTGGTAAAACGCTTATTTCTTGCAGTTCCATGCTGCACCCCAATGCCCATCAGCCTAGACAGGGACACAGAGTCATTCACGTTACCTTCCCGTGGGGGTTCCGGGGTCCCAATGTGGGTTAAAACACGAAGAGACCCACTGTCTGCTCAACAGCATGTCGTGAGAGTCGACTAACTGGGATATTCCTTCGAAGTACATCTGCCTGAGAGGAACCAACAGTCTGCACACAAATGAGTCAGACCTGTGAAAAGGATGTGCATGTAACACTCAGTTTCTAGAACAGGAATAGAGTCCAGAAGTTGACGAACAACCAGAACTTTACGCCAGGGTATAGAGCCGGAGGGTGAAAGTGAAGAAAAAGAAGATATACGTTACCACGTTCGTCTTCGCGATGTTTGCCGCACGTGACATTCATAACACAGGACCAGCCATAGCAACCAAAGCGTCTGCAAGATAATCTGCACGTTCGTTGCCTCAAACACCTCTCTATCTTGGCACAGACATTAAGCTTAGGCGAGCCATTCGCGAAGTGTTCGGTGTTGCCAAGCCATGCTAACGTCATTGTGACAGCCACAGTTTTCATTTGGAGGCTACTAGCTGTAATAGCCAAGGCGCCATTCATCTCCTTTCTCCGTGTGAAGGCCCGCGCACTTTGCTTGCCCCTAATTACCCAGCTCCCCCCCCCTCCCCCTTCCCTCTCTATTGCGGTTTCTCTTGGCAAATTTGACGTTCAGTAGTTTGCTACTGACTCT